GTAACAGAGTTGTAATGGCTTTTGAATGAAGTAAGCTGACAACTCTGGTTTTTAGCATTTCAGTAGTTAACGGAATACCCTAACTAACTGAGGTTAGTTTTTCGTCCGAAAAATCATGTACTTTTTATTTTTATTATAAGATAGTGTTTAAAATTATTAATGCGGTAAGAAAAACTAAATATTTACTTTACTTACTAGGTAAAGTAAAATGTAACAGAGTTGTAATGGCTTTTGAATGAAGCTGACAACTCTGGTTTCCAGCATTTCAGCAGTTTACGAAATACCGTAACAATTTTCGAAGCATTCAAATTAAATTTGCATTGCTGGTTTCAAAAGATACAGATGAATTTCTTTCGGTGTGCAATAACAATGAGCGCAAAGACCGCAAAAATTCGCTTTGACCAGTCTCGCAGTGGAGTAAATACATCTGGGGAAGAAGGCGTTTGCGTGCCTGTCGCTCGAAAGGAACTTGGTCCTGTGATTACAGCTGCAGGCGTTCCAGGTTCCTGTCGCCTGTCGCTCCACTTAGCAGATTGAGTGCTCCTCAGATGATGTAACATATTGCCTGTGCTGAATGGCTCCCTGGATGCGGATGTGATAGCCAACAGAGAACCCAACGGACTGGCAAAGGAGCTGCCGGAATTAGAAGTACTCGTCCCCTCTTTTTTGGCCAACTCTTTAAATTAGTTTGGCGTCATTTTGAGTGACTGACAGCTAGATTCGGCCGCTGATGAAAGGTTGACAGGCCGGAAAAATACTCCTGACCCTAGCAGAGATTTCGGGCGATGACTTTAAGACGAAGACGAGCACTGTTCGATTGCCCCAATTTTAAGGATAAACTCCCCCATAAGTATATCTTTCACTTGCAAATTGTGCACATTGTCAGTGAATTCGTAGAGTACTCTCTTGTGTTCAACCCAATATCCAAGGAAACCAAGGTCTTGGGGCAAAACTCATTTAAATTCAATGATTCGGGCTCACAAATGCATTCGTTTTAATGCGGAGATTTCCACCAGCGAGGGGTGGGGATTTCCCCAAAAGCCTGCCAATGGCAAAGTTTGATGAGAAACGAAATCAGAGTTTGCCGAAAATTCTATTTAAGTTGAAAGAGAAACAAAGTTGCTAAAACGCCCGGCGCTCGCTTTTTATCGAATTAAGTACTCCAAAGTGGGCGCCCACTTGGCTAAGCTATCATCCAGGAGGTACTACCTCGACGCCCCATAATCCCAGGCCCCGGCCCAATTTCACATGTCTGGAACAGGTTCAGTCGAGCGATGGCTCGGTGATATTAATATTGTTTTCAAGTGTTTCATTCCGAGTTTCAGGCTCAAGATTTGCCGCTCTGCGGGCCACCCCACGTGCACATGGCATGCGGGGCCAATGGAAGTTGCTGCCTCAGCCGAATGTGCATTAATTAAAAAACTTCATGCTTAACAAATCCCAAAAGGCAGCAAAGTTTTCTAACAAAGCCCTCGAAAGCGACAAAGTTGAGGCTGCAAGTTTCTGCCATGGCCAAAGGCCAAAGCCACTTCCCAGCTTTATTTATGGACAACACTCATTCTTATGCCAGATAACAGCAATTAGCCAAGGAGTAGAGAGTGTTGGCCGCTGGCTAAAAACTCATCAGGCAAATGGTGCGCGTTGCCCAGCACTGGCTCCCCTTGAAAGCCCCGTTCTACCCCGTTCCAATCCATTTTCTGGCCCCAGCAGGTGGCTTCTGGACTTCTACCCACTATTTCCGCACACACGGGCTCCGAAACAAGAACCGATGTAAAGGACACTTTTTGCATTCCGTACAATGTGTACACAACGCCCGAAAATTGATGTCGAACACATGTTTCGCAGTTTATGCGGCCTAAAACGGATCCCGTGGACCGGCCACAAATGGTAACCAAAAAAAAATCGAAAGGGATAACAACGAGCTGCGTCGAAATTGGTTTTTGGTCCAACATTAAATTTGACTCCGCTTCGAGTGGGGAAAGCGGGCACCCCAGCGCGCGTTTTTTTACGCCTTCCCCACACTGAAACACTGTATACATAAATACGCCACCTTTATACTCCCTGCTGATCTCAAATCAGCAGAAGGTTCTGCCCTAAAATCGAACTTTAACTCGTTTAAGCACTTTCAAATTGTATTGCCTTCGCCAGCGGTTCAAAACAGTGCTGCCAAGTCTCTCGCAAAGCAGTATAATAAAATCGGCAGAAATTTCTTCATGCTGGAAAATCAAACAGAAAAGTACACACGTTCTATATAATTAAGATTCATTTCTTTCAGATTTCCTATAGGTTTGTTGCATTAATTGTATGATTTCATGCGTAAAGGTTGTTTGCCATTTAAACTATTTTTTGCCATACACATTTTTCATGTAAAAGCTAAAGGAGACTAGCTTCACAGCCACATAGTTTTAAGATATTTATTGAAATCCATTCCAATAGAAAATACGAATTTTGTGGGCATAAGGCAATGGAACATTCTGAAACCAAAATACGTTTGAATTAGAAGGAAAGTTAGAGCACGTATTATAGAGAAATATATTCTATTTTTAGATTTCCAATTAATTTGTAGCATTCAGCGGTCGGCCGCAAAACAATATTAGTTTGTCTTTCATTTATGTGAGTAATTTGCACTAATTGAAATTCGCAATAGTTCGCAATATGTTCAAGTAAAAGGTAGTCTTTTTAAAGCAAAATATTTAAGTTTTGTGGGCATCAGGAATTGCATTCTATAAAAAAGTATTTGATGAGCAACATCTGAAACCAAAATATGGTTGAATGAAAGGAAAGTGACAGCAAATTTTTTTTTGTTAGAATTCCAATTAGTTTGTAGCATGTATGTTATGCATAAAAGTTGTGTGCCCCAACTTAAACTACTTTTCGCTATAGAAATAGTTTAAGCCAAAGGTAATCTTTTTAAAGCTTAACATTTAGTTTTCAGAAATTTTTTGAAAACTATTCCAATAGTAAACTTTCATTTGCTTGAGGAATTTGCTCAGCACTGTTTATCGGTGTTGTACATTGTTTGTGTGGCGCCAGAGGTATTCCCCACATACGCTTAATGAGAAGAAGTCCTCCGCTGGCCTAACTTGAACTATTTTTCGCAATATAAATTGTTAAAGTAGAAGGTAGTCCCTTCATAGCTACATAGTTTTCTGATATTTTTTGAAAACTATTCCAATAGAAAACAAGATGCCAGTTGGCGGGCATCAGGAAACCAAAAGGCCTTTGAAAGAAGAGGACAGTGACATCACTGGATGCGAAGCAGACTGCCTTGAAGGCGAGTCCTTGTGCGAAGGTGACATTGTTCAGCCAGTCCACTCGATGCCTTGACTCTTAAGTACTACACAGAGAAAATTCGGACGTTCTTATCTGAGTTGAAAATGTTCTTAAAAATAGAACGACATTTTTAAGCTGAAAATTATTTTATTTTGCTCGAATCAAGTTGAATTGGCGGTATTTAAGTACATTGTATGTACAAATAAACTATTAGTTCAGTCCTTAGTGTATACTTATCAAAAAGTTGTTAAATAAACTCAATTTAACCTTTCTCTTCTCACCATTTCGTTCTTATATTGATACCAAAATGTTCTTATAGGTTTTTAAGAACGAATGTTCTCAATTCAAGAACAATGTTCTCAAATCAAGAACAATGTTCTCAATTCAAAAAAAATGTTCTCAATTCAAGAAAAATGTTCTTGGACACTTCTCTCTGTGTACGCTTAAAGGAGGGGTCCCCCTGCGGACACACCCCCCCCCCCCCCCCCCCCACGCATCCTTTGAGGCCCAATGACTCCCGTGTCTTCGATGCCCCGTGCCACATCTCCCAAGGGCACCGCCTGGGCCAGTGCCATTAGGATACCGTGTGCCGTGTCTCCTCCACCTGTAATTGTAATTGCAGACCCCCATCACAGCCGCGACCCTTGTCACATGCTGCATGTTGCAAGTTCCCCAGTGCGTGCCGCTTGTACATGTCGCTGGGTATCAGTGGTCCGCCCCGCCTCCTCCTCCTCCTCCGCCTCCCGATCCACCCACATCCTGCCCCGCTGTGGCAATTGAAATGGTTATTTAATTCGCAGACTGTTGCGGGGACTGGGAGCAAAAGTATGCAATGCCTTTTTGCACACGCCGCCGTAAATTGCGCAGCCAAGTATGCTACGCATTTGCGTTTGTTCCTTCCCTCTCTCAATAGTTCCCTTTGCTGTTTGAGATCCATTTTTCCCAGCCCAATGTGGAACAGTAGACCAGGATTACCCAAACATACGGCTCACAAAGGGCCACAACTCCTTGTTGGCAGTTCCGAAATCCTGGAGTAGATATACATATATACCTACTAATGCGCCATTCGCATAAACACAAAGAATGAGGCCTCCAAATCTCACTTAATTGTCCGAAGCCTATAAATAACGCCCTCAAATGTCTTTTTAATCATGTCCAACTGTCGCCCGGGCAACGTGTTTGATTTGAAGTTATGTAATGGCCGCAGTCTCCTTCGGATGCAAAGTATCCTGTCATCAGGGACGACGGGCCTAGGACACTCTGCCAATAAAAAGTCCTAATATTATGATTTCCGTTTTTACTGCGTGGGCGTTTCTAGGGGAAACTTTCATATTCCTGGAAAATGCGACACGCACTTCGTTAAAGGGGTAAACCAGAGGCAGGGAAAGTAAGTACAATGTATGCCCACCTTTTAACCAACTTGTTGTTTTGGCTTTATGAGCTGACCCTGGGAAGGAGCCAATAAAACGATCCACATGCGACGATAATCGTAAAAAATTATTTTAATGCTCCTCCGAGAAACCAGGCTACCAAGGGAACCAACGGAACCCACGAACCTCCCACTCCTCCCATCACATGCGGCACTAATAGGACCCCCAACTTATGTATTCGTAATTCCAGCTAATTGAAGGCTGGCTATCCCACGCACTATAGTGGGGGAGCTAAGATAATACTAGGTTTCCCTTAGAACAGGACTCCGGTGGGAGGGGTCGTTGTATCGCACTCACCTTGCGAGAACTGGAACAGCTTGCAGAGGAACTCGCCGAAGATGAAGTTCCGCAGCAGGGTGCCCACCAGGGTGACGGGCATGCAGAGCACGCCCAGCAGCATGTCCGAGATGGCCAGGTTGAGCAGGAAAACGTTGGTGATGGTGCGCATCCGGCGGTTCTGCACCAGCGTCGAGATGACCAGCAGGTTGCCCAGCACCGCGCAGAGCAGGATCACACTGTAGCTGGGTATTAGCCAGACGGGCATGCCAGTGGTGCTACTCCCCGCACTGGGACTTGTAGTGGATGCGGGACCTGGAACCGCACCTGGAGCGACGGAACTGGTGCCCAGGGAGACGGCCAGCTCGGTGACCAGGTCGATGTCCAGCCGCTGGGTGGCAAAGTAGTCGGCGGTGGTGGTGCTGCCATTGCCCGCCAGGGAGGAGCCGTAGTCGGAGCCGGATCCCGTGTCATTGTACTGACCCACGGTGAGGGATACTATGTGACCCGCCGCACTGGGCGCATTGGCATAGTAGTCGAGTAGGGCCCGATACGCAGACGCGGACACCGACGCCGTGGCCTGGTCGGCGTCCCCATCCTCGTAGTTGAACATCCCGGGAACCGGAAACCGGGAAGCCGGCCGATCACTTGCCTCCACCAGACATGTCCGTTGGGTCACCAAAAAAAATAAATAAATTCACTCGATTGCAGTTGAAACGGCGACGCTTGCGCGCAGGCTGGCGGGGATTGCTCTGGGTTCTGGGACTCCGAGGAATCCGAGGAGACGAGGAGGCGGCGGCTGCTGCCGGGAGATGGCTCGCCTGCTACCGTTGCGAGTGACGCGTCGTGGGCAACTGACGACTGGCGGACGAGGACGCCTCCGCAGCGCTGCGGAGATGCCCCAACATGTTGCGTGGGCGACGGGCACGGCGCAAACTCACCTCGGCAACTTGTGGCCGGCAGCATGTTGCCGGCTGGCCGGGCGGCACATGTTGCATGGAGGACGTTGCCTCCTGATTGGGACAAATTAGCGGAGCAGAGCCACTGCATCGCGTCCCAGCTGCCCACGCTCCGGCAGATCATTGAATCAGTCGCATTCCGACGGCAGCTCAATGCGAGAAAACAGTCACTCCTCCCAGATAACTCGGTTCTTTATTTGTACAAATGTTCTGTGCTAATTCCGCGGGCTGCATTCCCAGCCGACGGCTCTGAGCAGTGGTGGCTTGAAGTTGGAGCTAATTCCAGAAGCCCTTGCGGAAGAAGAACACCAACACGGAGAATTATTCAAGTACATTGTTCTTAAATTGAAAACATTCGTTCTTAAAATCTGTGTAAGTACATTTTGGGCTCAATGTTCACAATATCAGAACAAAGTGGTGAGAAAAGAAAAGTTAAATTGGGTTTATTTAACAACTTTTTACTGACTGGACTAATAGTTTAGCTGTTGAGATAAGCAATGTAAATACCGACAATTGAAAATTGTTATCGTTATATTTTTTATTTTCAACTCAGATGAGAACGTCAGAACTCTCTCTGTGGACAGATATTGATATATTTTGGTGACCCAGATACCTCTTCACTTTGCAGAAAGGTTCTTTAGGTCTACATTTTTAGGCTTTATGATATTTTATTATCGTTTTGACAAATTAAACAAACTTAAATTTTAACCATTTTGAAAATCTACATCTACACACTCAAGGTAAAATAAGCGTATTTCGAAGTCAAATCAAGAACCAACGATATCGAAAGTAAGGTAGCTCGAACATTCTTGATCCAAGAACGAAAATTTCGCATCAAGTATGAACATTTCAAGACCGAAATTGTGGCTTTGAGAACGAACGTTCTTGATCAAAAGACTAACAATGTATCGAAATAAGTAAGACTAAGATGTATTTGAGAAGGAAAAATTCTTAATTTTAAAACGAAAAGTTCTGTTTATTTTATTTATTTTATTATTTTAGAAATGCGTTTACTCAACATTATTCAATTTAGTTAAATTTAACTTATTTTTAAAGTTCAACATATTTTTAATTAATTTCATATACTGAAAACTTTTAGTAAAGATATCAGTGAGAGCCGGAAAAACTATTACCGCGACCTCGGCTTGAACATACGACCGACGCCCTAATCAACTCGACTAGGCTTAAAAGAGAGCTGACTAAACGAGACACAAGCACTCTCGGCCAATAAGCAAGCATATCAACTAAATTTATTCTTATTCAAACCATTTTAATTACGGTTTTAAAACGTAAAATTCAAAAAAAAAAATTTACAAGAATTAAAAAAAAAACATTGAAAAAACATTTTGTACAAAAGTACCGACGTCTTTAACAGCTGAACCATCCTGGAAATTCGCTGTTTCTAACTACATTTTGAATTCAAGTACAAATGCATCCTATTTTAAGAACGCTCGCTTTACAAATTTTAACAACGATTTGGTACATTTTTAAGAAAGTTCGTTCTCAAATTATTCGTTCTGTGTTTTACTAGATGTGTACTTGTATTGTATTTTCTTTACCCCTAAACCTAATCTAATGATAATGGATTTTCAAACGGTATACCTTCCTAAGTTTTCTATATGAATATTTGTAAATACTGAACCACACTTATGGCTATTTTATTATTGTAGTAATCCATTCTCGTTCTTTTATATTTCTTGCTCTGTAATTTAGACATTGTATAGCTAACGTGTAATGCTTGAGGATATTACTTGACATTCACCGATCTATCTGTTATTGGCCAAGCTAAGATGCCCTGATGCTTGGGGGTTTGGTGACCCCGATCCCAGATTTTTATTGATAATTATCGATCATCATATTAAACCAAAATTTCTTTCTGTGCATGGATAAAACACTAGCCAACATCTGGCTTTTTTTGGTGCTTGCGAAGTGCCTGCACTGAAAATGAAACTGAAAATGAAGCCAAATGCGGCGACGTCGTCGCATATCTTCAGCTCTCACTCGCTCCCCATGGTGCTGGCCCTGTCGCACCGCCTGGATTTTTATCAGCTGCTGTGGGGCCTCTGCCGCGTCCGCTGCCAGTGCATCTCGCTCGCACCCACGGCGACTGCGCCGCCGACTTCGGCGGTCGGCACTTCGTTGGAGTTGCAGACGCCGGCACCGCCGCATTCGTGAGATACAACTCGTGGCAGTCGGACGAAGTTCAGCGGCTGCTCTGATATCTGGAACTGTGCTGGTTCTGTTCCTCCCTCTCTGTGCTTGCTTTTTTTTGGCGTTGTGTTTTTGTTTTCGTTGTCACTTTGTCACCTTGCGAGCGGTCCACACCCCCACTCTCTCCGCCGGACTACTCCGTTCCCTCCGAGACTCAGTCGCGATCCCCAGAAGATCCGAGACCCCAGAGGACCAGCATCCCAGCTGCACATCGCAACCGCATCCACGTCCAGAACACAGAACACAGATCACCAGCATGTCGGACGGCATCGAGGTCGAGCAATTGGTGGAGAGCAAGCCGAGAAGGGTGAGTAGTGGGGTGGGCAGGGTATAGTCGGCAGTCGGGAGTCGGCAGTCGGTAGTCCTGCTCCAGGGTCCACGAAATGTGTGTGTATACCGGCAGGGGACGACCGAAAATTAAGAATTATAAAAGATTGGATGGGGCAGCCAGAGACCCAGAGAGCAGGAGAGCAGGCCAGAAAGATATCTCCAAGTGCACCGCGAGAAAAATGTATTTGAAATGAAGATCATTGCATGTCATTAAACATTTTATTTGGATGTTAAGTATTATTAATACGTCCATAGGTAAAATTATAAAATTTTTTTATTTGATTTTGATATTAAATAAACTAAATAGTGCAAACTCATTAAAGATCAATTTTATTAGTACTTTTGAAATCTTGAAATATGCTATAGAAAGGAATATGATCGAACCTTCTATTGGGATCTATAAGACATAGTTTTTCGATTTATATACTACCTAGCATAGCAAAAACACTTTTGGAAAGCTTTATCCCGATAGTTTCAAGAGGGAAAGATTAGTTTGCGTAGATACGAACGAACGGTTAGACAGACTCGTCAACAAATAAAATTTATAGGGTCGAAACTTTGATTATAATGACCAGCACTCGAGCTTTTCCACCAAACTGAACCATTTGTTTTCGATAACCTTAAAAAGTCAAACTGATATTGTCGAAAACTTTAATTGGATACCAAATATCCTGTAAATTCCAAGCGGTTTCTTCCCGTGTACCGACCGAATGGAGTTGCTGGAGCACAGGCCCATGCGGCGTGTGTGTATCTCTCTGGGCATGCGTGAGTGTCTGTAAATAACTCTGGCATTGGCTCGCCGGCGACTCCACAAGAACCGGCCCAGAAGGCCAGGGCCAGGGGAGGGGCTACGACGGGGATCTGGGGGGGCGCAGAGACAGGGCTCCCGAGGCATCATCATCATCATCCGACTTGAAACGATTGCGGGGGCGGATGCAGATTGCGAGGGCGACTCCGACGCCTTCGACGCGACGCACTGGGTGCATATCAAGTTCAAGTGCGTTTTCGGTGCGGCCACCGCTGCACTTGTTCTCGAGACAGCGTCGATACCGATACCCGCCCGAGATGATGCCCTGTGGTTTATGCGGCCACCCCGTCTCCCTGGCAAACACGTATACCTTTCCAGATTACGGTGTTTGGCAATCGGAGGGGAGAAAACCGCTGCAGCGCTTATCTATGGGGTTGTTTTTTCAGCTGATCGGGCAGATTCATGTGACTTTGGTGCCCAGCACTTCAGTGGGGTTCGTAAACCTAATCTCTACGGTCATAATGGTTCGGTCGGTGGGCCGAACAAAGAGTTCTTTCTTGGCCAGCTCGATAAATCAGACGGTTTTGAGGCGTCCAAGTGGGCAGTTCACACCCTCCAATGTGCGACAAGCGCTTCCTGACGCGCCAATTTTGGTCGTCCACTCCCCGAGTCGTCGTCACCTTCGGGCGGTATGAATCACGCACTCGCACCCCGAAACCCCCCCTCCCCACTCGAAACCCCCCCTTATGACTGCTCCTTTGTTTCCTGCTGCAGTGTGTGCGTGAAAAGGCGACTCAGCGGCGAATCAGAAACAGAAACAGAAACCCAAAATGAGAATGAGACATCGGGGTGGGGGGGAAGAACACCCGCAGCAGCAGCAGGCATTGACATATCGGCGGTCCCAGACCCGGAGCAAGTACGTCATCGCGACTGCGCCGCGACAACTGGCAATTTGTCACTGCATCGTTTTTTCTTGGCGTGTCCAAGGCGAAGCGGTTAATAACCGATTCGAAGGCATTTATCGGCTATTTTCGAATGGCTCCATTGATTGACCGATTTTGTGAATCGCCATTTCCCATTATGCACTCAATATGTTTTCTGTATTGCTCCTCGGTTCAATTGTATTATTTTGTCACTAAGACGAAGCGGTTAATAACCGATTTGAAAGAATGTATTGGTTGTTTTCGAATTGCTCCATTGTGTGGCCGATTTATGAATCGCCACGAAACCCCTTCTTATTTTCCTTCTTTTGTTTCCCCCGATTCAATTGTATTATTTTGTCACTGCATCGTTTTTTCTTGGCGTGCCCAAGGCGAAACGGTTAATAACCGATTCGAGGGAATTCATTGCTTTTTTCAAATTGCTCCAATGACTGACCGATTTTATGAATCGGCAAGAATAGCCATGTGCATTACGCACCTACTATATTATATTATATGCATCGCCCCCCGATTAAGTTGTATTATTTTGTCACTACAATATTTTTTCTAGTCGTGCCCAAGGCGAAGCGGTTAATAACCGATTCTAAGAAATTCATTGTTTTTCTTCGAACTGCTTCATGGATTCACCGATTTTGTGAATCGCCAAGAATCGCCATCCCGCATTATGCACTTACTATATTATCTGCATCCCCCCTACTTCATTTCCTTCATTTTGTTTTCTCCGATTCAATTGTATTATTTGGCCTCTTATCTGAAATTCATTAGTCAACATAAAACAATTTCAATCCACATGTACATACATAATGAAAACGAATAAAACACAAAGTGAAGTGCAGTGAGAAACTAATCGAATACTCTTACTTGGGGGCTCATGAATATACCTATACAATCAAGAGTTATTTATAAATAATGCCACAATATTCGATGATATATATCCATATGTATGCAGATATTACACTATTTTATGATATATTCATATGAATGCAGATATTACGCACAGTGAATACAGATAGGGAAATATCTTATGTTAGTATGCTTGGCCTTTTTTGTTCCAGTCCTTTGCTTTTTGAAGTCAACTCCGATCAGTTCTTAATTTTTTATGAATCTGCTTAGAAATTCTTTGCTGCAATATATTGTTGATACCTTTGGCAAGGGTATCAACATTGAGTTACGCGGTAAGTCAGTTCCGAGCACCTGAATCGGATTCAGTTTCGTTTTCGTTAGCAATTTTTATTTGCAGTAATATGCTTGGTTACGTTCAGCTGCAGTTTTAGCCAGGTTGATGCTTCGCAGCCCCACTCATTGCCAGTATTACGGGCGGCTGATATTGATAGATATAGAAATATGCACACATATATGTGGGCAATGCGATGTGCTGTATGAGGCACATATGGGCATATATGGCTCATTACGTATCTATCGGACATGGTCGCATGCCATTTCAGTGGAGCGAGCTACCTGGCAGATGGCTTTCCTGCTGAGAAGGTGGCAAACAAGCTGGGAGGAAGGCACAACCAATTGATCAATTGATCAATTATAATTACATATTTAATATATTTACAAAAATTGATTTCCTGTCGTCAAAACAAGGCTATACCTCAGGCTCACGACTGTATTTTCCAGTATTGCGATAAACTATGATCAATTATGGCAGTACTACTGGTTATCGCTCTCAATACAGATTTGTGGAACATGACACATCTGGATTTCCTTGGAACCAGGCTCTCTTTTCACTCCGAACCAGCCCTATATCTACAGTGTGACTAAGCGCCAACCTCTAGTGGGTTTTTATGGTGTGTAAAATTGAAGCAGCCGAGCCCTGGAGATTAGCAGATCGGCGGGAATGGCTATGGCTCGATTTACTTACCACTAATTGCCCAGGCGATCCCAAGAACTTTCGGTAATAAATCAATTTAGAAGTCTGTAGTTTTGCGGCACTCTCTTATCAATGTTTGGAGGCCGAACAGATATTGCGTCAACGGCGGAGGAGGGGCTATCCTATCCGGGCCTATCCCATCCGATCTTCGGGGTGCAGTCGCAGCCGCAGCCCAAATGGTGTGATCTAATTTGTCGTGTTGTCAGTGTGTCAGAGCCAGAGATATGGCGGGTCTGTGTGCGTCCGTTATCGGGCTTATCGGCTGGAAACTTAATTTCAGCTAATTTTAGTCATCAAATTGGCTCACGTACCCACAGAGCACAGGGCCACAGGAGCACCTACATATGTATGGATCCCCTATCTGGCCTTGGGGGAATTTTGGGTATTTTCGGTGGGTCATTTGCTGCAACGGTTTCTTCGACGTCCGCTCTTTTTTGGCACAGTTCGCGTCCGCATCACTTTTTTTATTTGGTTTCGGGACTAATTAATTCAGACCCACGAAACGGGAGCTTCCGAGCTGTTCTATGGTTCTATGTGTTGTATACCTACCTACCCATACCAAGTTCTCACCGAGCGACGCGATGCGCTGTGTTGTGAAAGTCGTCGCCCGAATCATCTTTGGGTTTAATTGTTTGGCTTTGATATTTTCGGCAGTCGTCGCTTTTCTAATTGATTTTTCTCACCAGACGCCGTACTCTCCGGTCATTGAACGCATTATGGAGCGGGGCTTCTGCTCCAGCTCCAGCTCGATCTCTATCTCTATCTTCCATCTGTATCTGTATCCGTATCTCTGGCCCAGCTTCAATGGCTATTTCTACTCGTATATCGTTCCTGTCTCCAAACCCGAGTTTGCGGCCAGTTATGCCAGCATTTCTCTTTGTTTGTTGTCATCCCGTTCCGACGACCCGAACGCACTTATCAAATCTCTGACCTGCTTTCTGTCGGCTACTGATTGAAAATTGTCACGCTTAAATTACTTTAAATACAGCGATCCGCTTAAGACAATAAGGGGAATAAAAGAGAGCGCTGCGTAGAAAGGGTCGTTTTGTGTGGGTTTTTTATCAAGCTCATCGATCCAACTCCAGTCTTTTTTGACGCTTTCCAAGTTCATATACTAGGCCTGTCTTCATATTTTACTTATTACACATTTTCAAGTCTTGAGGCCTTTTCATTTCTTAAGTTTCAGCGCACAAAAAGCACTACAATTTGTTAGGAACCATTTTTAAAATGTTTAAAAAAGGTCAGTGAACAAAATACAACAATTTCCGAGCTTTGTTCCGAAACTCTTATATGTATGAACATGTATTTTATATCTGGATAGAACCCTTATGATATGATTATCAAAATATGGTATAACAACATGACATGCGGGTATACTTTTAAAATTGATCTTATCATTATGTGCACATCTGTATATCCATATACCATACTGCACATACTTTTATTGGTCTGCTTACTACGTTTATGAAGCACTAAAAGCCCAACAAATGGCTTTCCGTGAATCTGCCTGAACGTAATGCCAGTGGGCGATGCAATGGCGTGCCTTTTTTAGGCGTTTTGTGGTAGCCTGACACGGAAACGAATTAAATTGAATAAACTATAAAATCGAAAGCAAAAGCCCCGATCGAATCTGACTCATAGATGGCGCCGTCAAGAGCACTTGACCGCTGGTTGAGTACATGAACTCATTCATTGTTGCCCATTACCGCAGTCCAAGGCGCGATGAGCGGCCATGGTGGTTCGCTTTGGCGGAACGAGGCGGACTTGGAATGCATGAACGAAAAGCATTAGCTTCCGCCTGGGAACCTGCATCCTGTCGACTTGATTATAATCCCACTTCTTCCCTTCTTCCGCACAGATGCCACTGGCCACATCGTTGGAGAAGGACTCGATTCGCGAGGCTTACGAGGATGTGCGCTCCGATCTCACCGACACCGAGTGGGCGGTATTCAAGTTCGATGGTGCCCAGATCATCGTCCACGGACGCGGCCAGTGCTTCGAGGAGTTCCGACAGCAGTTTGGTGACTCGGAACGCGCCTTCGGCTACATACGCATCCAGATGGGCGACGAGATGTCCAAGCGCAAGAAGTTCATCTTCCTGACGTGGATCGGCCAGGAGGTGGGCGTCATCCAGCGGGCCAAGATGTCCACGGACAAAGCGCTCATCAAGGATGTGCTCAACGTAAGTAGATATAGATATTCCTAGATATAGATATTCCTATAATCCGCATCCCTTGCAGAACTTCGCCGTGGAACTGCAGGCGGGCGTGGAGGCCGAGCTGGACATTGAGCTCTTCCGGGAGGCGTTGAACCGGGCCGGCGGTGCCAACTACGGAACGGGTATCCGGGATAACTAAGCGGCCTCCAAGTTACTTTACATATTTTTTTTTGCATCTCTCAACCGCTTACCAAACTGCTCCTTTCTCTTTAATTATTATGAATTAATTTTATGAAATTTAAAAACTGTACATTTTATGTAATATTATACAAGCAATTGTAACATTACTGGGTATCTATTTTTCCTCCCCAACCTTTCTTGTTAACCAACTTTGATTATTTCGCTGACAAGAATAGCATGTCCTCATTTTCATTATATTAGATAGTAGATCACCTTAGAAGACTTTAATTTAGAACTGCTTAATTACTTTAATGATGATGGAATATTAAAGCTTAACATTCACCAAATCATCCAGTAGGGAGATACAAAACAGGCAGATCTGCATAAGAGCCCTGAATTTATTATTAATACGCATGGAGTAAAACGTTGATCCGAAAGAATCAGGAAATCAAAAAGAAAAATGGGTGTTATTAAATCTTAAGGTTTCTTTTCTATTCATTTATATTCATGTTCTATGCCAAAAAAAAAGCATGGTTAAAACTTGTCTAGTTTACTGAACAAACGCCGGATGGATCTATTCGTATTAGACAAGCGCGCCTAAGAAGTAAGTGGTTTACATTGTTGGGCTTAATACTAGGAGATGATGAATAGAGTAGGATGCGTAGGATGCACCATGTCTAGAATAGCTGGAAAATTGCCTAGATGCTTCAGTCCGCTGGCCATACCTAGCGGTCCCGGAAGAGAACCGAGTGGAGGGCATCGATGTCCACCTCCACGCCGGACGAGTTGGTAGTCACAGTGCGAGAGCTGCGGAAGATAATGTCAAAAGAAACCCTTTGGGGTCATTTCACCACCTAACTCACCTGGCGGAGTGTGCCGACCGGTGGGAGGAGTGCGGATTGACCAGCACACAGTGCATGGGCTGGTCATCGAACTCGCGATGATGGTAAGCGTCGACGGCCATCTCGGCATGTTCCAAGGACTTGTAAATTACCTCGGCAGTGCCCGGGCGCACCACATGGGCATCGTACATCGGTCCGATGTCGCTGAATAGCTCGCGGATATCCGCGGTGGTTACGTTAGCATGCAGATTGCTGACCAACAAGCGGTATCCGCCCTTGGTGTTCGACGATCCCAGCGGCAGTGTTGGTGGCGAACGGTGCAATCCCATCGGGTGGGCCATCGATGGAGCCCCACCACCACCACCCTTTCCCCTGTTCTCGTTGGCATAAATACCATGGGATACGCGGCGATCCGGCTCACCGCCATACAGACGAGCGCGCAGCGATTCCGGCAGATTGGTGGTGTTCACCATGTTCCGATGTCGGCGCTCGAAGAGCTTTTCGCTGGTATCCGTGTGTCCGACAACCAGTGGAGTCGGCAGCGATGGTCGCTCGATTCGATTGCGGGCCACCTCGTAAATGGCAAACGGGTCGCTGGCTATATTGTTCTTAAGCGGAGCCGTGGACATCTCCACGTCGTCGTCGCGATTCAGGTCGAAGCCTCCAAAGGTGTAGCGCGGCGGCGGCTGCTGGCCGGTAAAGTTGCCAAAGTGCAAAGTGCGCGTGATCTCCTCTGCAAGAAAGTTAGGTGTTATGAAAGAAAACTAGACCAAAGATAAACCGCAGAGGTTCTGGTCGTTGCTGGACGGGGCGTCCTTTAGGGGCCTTGCTTACAGCGACCAGAACAGCTGGGGATCCACCCGCTTACCATCCTCTAGTTCCTGCATATTGTCATGGTCGATGTAGCCACGCGGAGCAAAGGGCTTGCCCGGCTGGTTCGATCTGGGGGGGAAGGATCGACGCATGCCTGCCAATTTGTGCCCACCACCACCGCCCAGACCTACGAGCTCGTCATCAGAGTCCCAGTCCGTCTGTATGGTGCCGCCCGGGCGGTTCGACATGGTGATGGTGCGCTGACCAAAGTGACCCTGGTGCACCCCGGATGCGCGGGCATGGCGTGACGGCTTCAGTGGCTCTCCGTCGGGCGTTGCGGTCGGGCCCAGTGGGCGACCCTTTTTCCGCTCTAGCAGCAACTGGCGGGCATCGATGCCCGAGTCGCGCATGCTCTGGTTGAGGAGATCGCGGGCATCCGCTATCTTGGCACGTGTCTTCTGGATGATCTTGTTCCGGGCGTCGAAGGATCGCTGTGCCGGCGGATCCGACAGGGAGCCTCCTGTCCCGGTGGCCTTGAAGGCGGGCTTGTTGAGCACCCGCCGCGGCTTGGCGAAGTTCGCATTGCTGCAACGAAAAACGCATGGAGTGCAACGCCATTTTTTCGGCCTTCGCCGCATTCGTACTTACAACTTCTTGTCGATGGGCCGCCCGCCGTGTCCGCGTTTGCGCTCTATAATCTCGTCCAGACTCAGTTCGATGTCCATCGCACCCGGCTTTTGCTATAAGCGCCTATTTCTCAACGATGTGAGAATAAACTATTCCCCTTTAAAATGTAATTCCAACAATATTTTCTAAAAAAAAAAGCGTAGGCGTTTTAGTGGTGGCACATGGGGGTGGATGTCTGCACTATCGATTAAAAATATCGAATATCGAAGATAAAAAAAAATTATCTAAGATGTTAAATTGCTAAGCTGATGAATTTGTATCACCTGCTCCATACAATACAATCCAATACAATTATACAATTTAAATTTCAATAAACAATATAATTGTACATATATTTTTCTGCAAGTGTGACTACAAATCACATTAAAAATTCAGTGGCCACGTTCTGCGGAACGCTCATAATACATAACGACGCCAAAAAAGCAGGACATGAAAATCTCCACTATGCAACTTAAAACTCTTTTTAAATTGATCAATCACTTTTTTAAATTGCTTTTGTAAAGATGATATCGGTTGCCACAGCAATTTTAGCATCGCGCACAGCAATTGTGAACACATAAAAATCAAAAAGGCCGTAACACTTGTAAAGAATTTAACTTACTTCGTGGTTTTTTAATATTAATATTTACTGATCATGCTAAAAGTCTTGCATCATGATTAGTTATCATGTGCGTTCAGCAAAACTATCGTAATAATTCCATCAATGATCAGGTATCATGTTGTTCTGCTGAACGCGGCCAATAGGAAACACTTAAGATCGTTCCCTATTACTAAAATATTCTGTGCATTTTCAAAAATTCAACAATTCAACAGCTGAGGGATACCCAGTGTACAAAGAGTGTAATTCTGGACAAGGGACATTTTAACATTTTTTCCAAGCCCCGAAAACTATATATTTTCCATTATTTATTAGTTTATTGACTGTATTTTTTCATTTTGAAGATACCATTGAATCACTGCAAAAAGATCATCACCGAACGCTTAATAGGCGTTGATTTTGTATTAAAAATGGTGCTGATTTTCAAATACGATTCATCACTGCATCAAAACCAGCACGTATTCAGCATCTTTAAAGCACTTGTGTAAGCACTAATAAAGCGCTAAAAAGGTGCTTTGCCGCTGTTGCCTTTGGGTCTGTGGCGACGCAGTCGACTGCGTGATGATTTTGTGCCAGTGCTGAATTGAGGAACTGATGGATAGATACCTTAATAAATATGTAATGCTTATTAATAAAGGTCAACATACTAAGCCAGCCCTGCTTCAGTGTGACCGCTTGCTAGTACGAAAACACTCGTGCTTTAGTTCCATCCGCCACCTGGGCACACTGCTACCTCCCCGCAACAACAACAACAAAGCGTAACACAGGAAAAAAACAGCAAAACAGAACCAGAGCCACCCAATATTTATATTAGAATTTCACTTTCCGGCTGCGAAGTGCGCGCTTTTTACTGCGATTATTTTTGCTGCTGCCCCCACGCACACACACGCACACGGTGATTGCGCAATTCCAGTGGAACGAGTGTGGTGGTGTGCGGTGTGTGTGTGTAAACAACAACGGGACGAAGACGAAACAACGGGAATTGATTTGGAACGAGTGGAGCTTTTGATGGGCAACTCGCAACCGCGGAACGCGAGCAGAAGCAGAAGGACACAGCAGTGGCCACAAGGAGCAGCGGAACTAGGAGCCACCGCCGATCATCGCCGGGAAGACGAGCAGCAGGCGGAGCAGCAACAGGAGCAGGAGCAGGCCAACCCGAGGAGAGCCCAGCTCCAGGCCCAGGCCCAAGCCCACCAATCCCAACCAGATCCTGCAGGCGAGGAGGAGCCGCCCGTACAATCACAGCAGGTAGTGAGTAAGAAGCGTTGGAGTGGGTGGTATTTGGGACAAGCTGATAAGGCAACCCACATACTAAGATTCATACATACATACGTATGTATGTACATATCTCGGGCAGTGTTGGCCATGTTTTCCCTCGTCAGCGCAAATAAATACTGCGTCATTGATGGGTGTTGGGCTCGCATTTTCCCCATTCAATTACGACGCGGCTTTTGACCCCTGACCCTCTCCCTCACCACGCCGAGCACTGCCCCACCACCCCAAATTAAGCACGTGTGTGGGCGCTCTTTTCCGCACTCTTCAAATGCCCCGAGTGTTTCCGCATTCGCGTACGGATTTCAGGGCCATGCCAATTGAGCCTCCCGCTGCGCAAATTCTGGCGCCCCCTTATCAAATCCGCCCTCCCGCATGCCCCTCCAGCACATCTCGATCCGAATATAACTATGAGGATCGCATAGCCCACACGGAGATCCAGATCCAAAGATCTGTACGTATACTACGTGCACGTGCGTGTGTGTAACCATACGGAATGGTGACCCTCAAGCCAAGAAACGCTGGCCACAGTCGCGGTCGAAAATATTGTACAAGCTTCTCGAAATCAAACACTTGATACGAAAAAAACTCAGATGCGACTAACCGTTTTGAGGCACAAATTATTCAGTCAGACATTTTTTCTTTTTATCTATCTATTTTCTATTTGAAAACCACAATTATCATATGCAAATTTAAAGTGCTGAGATCATAATTTCATGTTAGAAGAAAATAATTTGAATAGTATGGTTTGGATAAACATCAATTCATAATACCTTTTCAATGGTACAAATCAGCAACCTGTAGCTGAAGCCATTTAGGAACTCTGTAGGAACATTCTCGAATTTCCCACAATAGACATTAAAAAAAATCAGAACCTTAGGAACATTGGTCATCAAAAGAGCCAGAGGGGATTGGAAACTCCTTTCATACACACTTCGACATGTATCGCCTAACAAATCACTAACAAGGATCAACTCTAACAAATTTTTAAGAAATATTTTGAGTTTCCGAATGGGTAATATACAAAAACCGAGTACACAGATGATCACTTTTCGTGGACCCCACTGTATGGGCTGTTTCCGATTCGCTCTCTCGCTCTCTTCTGCGATCCGATTCCAGCTGTTCGATCATCGGTGGCGTTATTTGTTTGCAAATATTCACAGGCCATAACGCACGTGTCGTCGCGCAGTGAACATCGCAAAACCGAACCTACGCCTCCGTAGAAATTCGTAGATAGATAGATAGACAGGGTTCTGCGACTCATTAGCTGAGTTTCCCGGCGAAAACGACGCAGGTAAGCCGCGATAAATCGGCTGAGACCGTTTTCAGGCCATTGTCTTCGGACAGACAGTCCGCCGCGTGTTCAGTGTACATATAATATAGTGAGCTGCAAAACTGAAAACATAAATCCTAATGATCTGCCCTGTTTCAGCAACAGCTTTCCACCTGGAGCCTTGGCAGTCTTAGCGGAGGACGCCTCAACTGGAGCTTCTCCGGGGCCCGCAACTCATTTCGTCATCGGAACAAGGCGACGCGAAAGAGGTAGAATCCCTCGGAATTGACCTTCTGTGGCCTTTATTAATACGCCTCTGTTTCCCTGCAGCTTGACGTCACTTCACGGCTCTCGTCGGGGCAAGACCCAGTGGCACCGGCCTCTGACCAACTCAATCTTCAACTCGCACTTCAAGGAGTCCAGCCGGAACGATCTGTACCAAATCGAGCATCTAGTGGCCAAAGGAGCCTTCGGCGTGGTCTTCAAGGTGTGCACTAAGAGCGACAACAGCGTGTGCTACGCCTTGAAGGTGCTGAAGAAGTCAAAGGTTGTTCAGAGCCTGATGTGGATATTCGTGGAGATTAAGTAACCCCCTGCCTTTTTGCAGCTCATCGAGGATAATAGCGTGCGGCAGATCAAGGACGAGGCCGACATACAGAAGGTTTGCGGTCACCATCCGTTTATCGTGAAGCAAATTGATCTGTGGCAGAACCGTCACAACCTCCACATTCGTACGTCGCGAGGATGTTTTAATTAGCATTCCAAGTGTTACTAAATACTTCCTTTGCAGTATCCGAATACGTACCTAACGGCGAGTTGTTCTCAAAAATAACGCACTTCTCCATTGATTTGGTTCGACTGTATGTTGGCGAAATAGCACTTGCTCTGGGTGAGTAGACAGGGTGTAATGCAGCCTCTGATCACATCACCAAAGTCTTACGTCCGATGTACGTGTTCTCAGATTTTCTGCACAACGCCGGGATTATATATCGCGATGCCAAGCCGGAGAATATCCTGCTAACGCAACAGTTTCACGTAAAGCTGACGGACTTCGGCCTTAGCAAGTGGCTCAAACTGGGGGCCAACACGCGCACCATGTGTGGCACTTTCAAATACATGGGTACGATTTAATTCAACTTAAACATAACAAACACTTAAGTAATAGATTTAGCTGTTAAGAGGCGCGCCGATCCATCGCAATCCAAATCGTTCAAAGGCATTTTCGAAAAGAAAGCCCAGCAGAAGCAACTTAGAAGCAAAGGGAACAGAGCAGAATAGGAAAATATAGCATATATAACCTACTGTCACGCTAGGATACTACCACTTAAGTTATGAAACTATGTACATTTGAGAAGAGAAAGGTTATTTTACTATAAAAGCAACTGTAAGCTGTGAGAAACAGTCATCAACAACAGAGAGCCCAGATCAGCCTAGAGAGGCATTACATAGCAGGCAGGCAGGCAGGCAGAAAGGGAGCAAGGGACACAGAGTCACAATAGCGACGGAACACTGTACATAGACAGCACACAAATTCAATCTCAATCCCAAGCCGAAGAAGTTATCGTGATGAACGCGCGTTCGCAGGTCTTCGATCTGACCATGGAGGGTCGTCAGGTGGACGAGGCGGTAGCCACCATCTTTCACACCGTCCTCTTTCACCGCTGCCTGGGCAAGTACATGTACACGGGCGACGCCCAGTACTCCATTGGGACGGTCGGCTACACGGACGTCGATTGCAACTTCATTGACTTCACCTACGTGTGCTGCACTTCGGACAGCCTGACGCACAAGGTGAAGAGGGCCATCAACTCGTTCAGCGAAAAGCTGCGCTCCAACGAAAGCTGCGGCTCCGGCCAAATCAGCCTGGAGTTCTTCCAGAAAAAGAAGAACCGCTGGCCCTTCCCGCAGGAGTCGATCCCGTGGGAAGTGTGGACGGTCCATCTGGACCTGATCAAGCACGAGAACGAGGACGAGCGGCAGCTGTGCCGCGAGAATGTCTCCGATCTCCTGACCGAAAAGGTCATATACATCACCGAGCTGATGAACCGACACGACTACGTCCCCAAGACGCCCAGTCAGAGCGAACTGGACCTGATCTTCGACACATCCTTTCCGGACGTGCAGCCGTACCTCTTTAAATTCGACTACTCCACTTCTGGCTCGGCTGCCCCCTCCATGGGCAACGCCATGAAGAAGATCATCAAAGAGACCCTCGCAATGTGACGGGTTGAAGGAGAAGGGATCGAGATCCTGTCACCTTTGTGTAGAAACGCCACACCAGTGGCTGGTTATCACTACGGGGCTGTCCACACATCAAAATTAGTTGTTCGCGAGTTTATTTATTTGTATTTTCTTTTTTTTTCAACCGTTTATAGTGTTTTTACCCAAGACTAAGGGTGAGTCATTTGCAAGGGTGATAAGATAAAATACCAAGTAGTTAAATATTTATGGCAAGTCCCTGCTGAACTAGAACGTTTTAAATGTAGGTTTTCATTTCAATTGTTCTGCCTTAAGTGGGCGTTAACCCATGTCTCGTCCGTATTTTTTAATGGTTTTGAACATTTTTTGTGAAGAACCATTAAAACTTAGAACTGCAATACAAAATGTTCTACTATTTTAACTGAGACATAGGTGAACCCCCTTAAAGCCGGATGGCATTTTCTTTAAAAATGGCTAACTGACTGGATTTATTGTTGAAGATATAGAAGATGAACAACTCACGTAAATAAATCCAGTCAGTTAGACAAACACTAAGCAAGTGTTATGCGACCATTAATATATACACCCGTTACTCCTAGAGAAAAATGGTATATTGTATTCGTCGGAATGTATGAAACGAGCAGAAGGGAGCGTTTCCGACTTGATAAAGTTATATATTCATGTCCGTCTGTGGGTCTGTCCGTTTGTCTGTATGTCCGTATGAACCCCAAAGTCTCGGAATCAACAAAAGTTAAAAGGTTGGGAGTAAGCATACAGATTCTAGGGGCTCCTTAGCAGCCTTGTTTGTTTTATCGGAGTGCCACGCCCACTCTAAAGCTAAAGTCTGTATAGCGCCCATTTTTTTTTGGTTTACAATTTTTTTCTTAACGGTTTCTTGCGTAAGTTAAAATACGTTTTATTGATCCAATACCTATCTACATTCCAATAACCAAACCAATCGCAATATTATTTAATAAGTTATAAAATTATAAAAGTTGGTGACGCTACCCCTAGGTGCAGAATCAAAAGAAATGCCCTGGAAATTATTTGAGAAATCTTGTTTTATAGTTGGTTAGCTGAGTAACGGGTATCAGATGGTCGAGGCACTCGACCATAGTGTTCTCTCTTGTTGTAGTTGTTATTATGGCCTAAGTTATCCAATAGGTTATATTAACCACCGGTACATCCAAGAGCATGGTATGGGTAAATCCAGCTCTGCAGGATTTAAAAGTGTTCACGCAAAAGAGCAGGAGGCAACGTTGTGCAGACAGCGATGCTTGGCTAAAAGGAGATGGATGCAGAGTCAAGAGCCGAGTTGAAAATTGTAAAGAATAGGCTCTCGAGTTTACCACATAGGCCACCATTTAGCTGTCTATCACCCCACCAAACTTCCCTTGCTCCAAGCCTAAGCTCGAGGTGCGACAAGCGTTGTACCCATTCGATTATCCATGCAAAACGTTCCAAAATCAAGCTTTGAGCTCCACTAGCAAGCAAATACCTGTCAGCAGAGCAAATGCATTGTGTTAATTATGTCTAAATCGCCAGTGTAAATAATGAAAATGATGCAAGCTAAGAAATTATATTCGGTGTGCAAGAGAGAAGGAGGAGAAGGAAAACAATAACGAATTCAGAACCCATCTAATGTTGAGATCGAGGCAAGTAGCGGTAGAGATGTATGTATAAAAGATTGTGATTGTACTTGTAGTGTTTAAACGATAGTACCAACTCTATGTATCCATGGAGATCAAATATATAGATGTGTATGTATGTAAATCAATGTTTATCTGTATGTCCAAGCTATAGAAGTAATCGATAAATGTACTTTACGACTTAACTAATATTGTAAAATCGAATTAAGCAGAATAAATCCTTTGAAGCACACGTTCAAAGTAGAAATGTAATTGGCCTTTTTCGAGCATTATCCAAATAAACCATCAAATCATATTTCGACCAGCCATTAATCGTTCCGAGTTCCGAGTTCCCAGTCGTCCAGTCGGTTATCTCGTACCGCTCTACATTCCAAACCCAATGAATATCATCCGAATTCGGCCCGCCGAAGCAACCATTCAGAGTCTACTGCTCACATTGCCTCTTCACCATTTGTTTGCGGGTGGGTAAAACGTTCTCCCCCTCTCGTATCGTTTCAGCCCCCGAGATTCTGTGCGGCGAACCTTACGGCCATGCAGTGGACTGGTGGGCCTTGGGCGTTATAGCCTGTCAGATGCTGACACAGAAGGTAAGCCACCCATTCCGGTAGTCAGTAATTCAATCGGTAATAACCGTTCAGATTGCGAGCATGCGCCATCTCGGCGATCCCATTGGTTTTCCGACGCAATAGCTAGCGCTTGTGCAGCCTCAGTAGATCTGGGACTGTGGAACTGGTTTGCTGCATGTGCATGGCATCTATGGAGAATACTTGGTATTGCTCAGTCAACAGTGAAGCTCTATAATCCAAGCGCGAGCGCCGGGAGCTATGTGTATAATTGGTCTAGCCATCAGAGCTGTATAATCAAGTTTTGTCCACCCTAAGACCTCATTCTTTATTTTCTTCACCTGTGGTTATTGGAAAAGTCACTTGTTTTTAGGGCCCTCAGCCTTCTGTTGGTATTATATTAGGATCTTGTTCACCCCATCCCCCAGAAAGTATTCGCAGCACCCATGTTGTATTTTAGTTTTTCGATTTTTATTTAAGAATTTTCTCAGTCTATATAAAATCATATATACTTCCTCTCATATATACGTTATAACACTATCGTTATTAAATGTAGTTTCATTATGTTAGAACTCAAATAAAAAAAAAGGGTTTTTCATTTATAATGCATCGTAGGCGATACTCGAGTGCTGGCTTCGTTCTGGGGGTTATTTTTGGGAAGGACAGTTGGGCAGGCTGATCTAGGATTGGGGGTTGCAGGGGTGCAGAGTGCAGGGGTGTTGTCTTGCAATGACTAAGATTTAATTAAAATTACATTAATTAAATTATAATTATAAGTATTACTTTATGCCATCTTAGCGGTTTGTCCTGTTTGTTGTGTGTTGAATTGTTATGCCTACGCGTGGGTAACTTCCGATCCACTTGGTTCTATTGTTCCGGGGCGCCTTCCTCAGCTCTCCCCTCGTATTCATGGTTGTGTGTCATTTCGATCTGCTCCATTTACAACTAAGGATACCACTAACTACGATCGTAATATTAAGACGCTGCCAAGGCGTAGCAGTGGTGCGATGGTCGGGGGTGGTGGTGCTGGTGCTGGTGGCGTTGGGTAAAGGCATGGTGGTAGATGTAAAGCTCTTACTATCCCTAGTTCTCCTTCGATTCGCTGCTCTCCTCCGACTCCTTCGACTCTGAGGACTCATCGACCTTGGACTCGGACTTGTCAGACTTCTCCTCCGACGACTTTTTGGGCTCGGCCGGTGCAGCTTGGGCTTGAGCAGGCTCGACAATGGCTTCCGGGCTCTTGGCCACGGGCTCGGCAACGGGTGCTGGTGCTTCATCGATCTTCTTGGCCTCGGGCACGGCGGCGGCTGGCTCCGGAGCTCCAGCTGCTGCTGTCTCCTCCGACTTCTGCTCTGGCAAGGCCTTGGCGATGGTTTCGGCGGCTGGCTGCTCCTTCTCCTGCTCCTTGGCGGGCTCTGTCACCTTGGTGGCGCCGGCGGGGGCCAGTGGGGCATTGGTCTTGAGCACTGGAGCGGCCTCGGCCACGGTCTCGGTGTTCTTTTGCTGGTCAACAGGCTTGGGGGCCTCACCGGACTTGGCCTGGGCGGCTTGGGCAGCAGGAGAGGCAGCGGCGGTCGACTCGATGGACTTCTTCTCCGGAGCAATCACCTGGATGTTGGTCTCCGACTTGGCAAGTTCCGGGGCGGCGGTGGGTGCGGCTTCAGCGGCCTTGGCTGGCTCCTCGGGTGCGACAGCATCCTTCTTGGCCTCCTTCTGCTCGATTTCGTTGATCCTCTCCTGACGGGCGGGCTGCTCGGGGACGACGGTCTCCTTCTCGGCGGCGGCTACTACGGCGGGAATCGCTGGCTCCTCGGCAGACTTTGCATCGGTCTTGGGCTCCTGGGGCTTGACCTCGTCCACAACTTGCTTCTGCACCTCGGCATTGGCGACTGGGGCCTCGGGGGCAAGTTCAATGGCCTTGGGTGCCTGGGGCTGTGCCTCGACGACAGGCTCCGCCTCCGTGCGGGCAGTCTTCTCCTGCTTCTTCTCGGCTTCTACGGGAGTGGGCTCCTGGGCGGGCTTGGTCTCCTCGGGCAGGGTCTTCTTCTCCGGAATGGCTGGGGCGGTCTCTACGTCCGGCGCACTCGACTTGAGCTCCACACTGTTGATCTCCTTGGCCGGCTCGGCGACGGGAGCGATGGGAGCGGCGGGCTCTGGAACGGCGGCCTTGGCTTCCTGGGCGATCTTGGGCTCCGGCACCTTCTCGGCCTCCGGCTTGGGGACAGCGGGCTCGGCGGCAGTGGGCAGCGCGGTCTTGGTCAGCAACTCGGCCTTGGCGCCGACTTCCGGCTGAATGGCAACCTCCTCGTCGGGCACGGGGAGCGCCCAAACGCTGGCCAGGCACACGGTGGCCAGGAAAAGCAGTTGGCACTTCATTCTGCGAAGGGAAGAGCAAACAGCGGACTTAATTAGTATGAGGGAGCGGACCATAGAACCCATAAAAGCCCGTGCATATCATCAGCTTTCTGCTGCACAATGACCCTCAGTGAGATTTTTGTAGCCGGACTTTCTATTCCATTTCCATTTGAATTCCCCAATCATCGTTTCGTCTTCCGCAGAATTACGTTTCGTTTGCTTCTTTTGTAATTCGATTAAATGAAATTCTACCTCTGAATTAAATTGGCGGTCGCCGCAGTTCGTAGACCCGGCTGGCCGGTCCTCGCTCTGCCTGTCTAATGGCGCCTCCTTTCTCCCTGCTCCGAGTGGCCCACATCCACATCCATATCCCCGTCCACATTCAGATTCAGATTCACGGCGTTTAATTATTCAAATGCGGCACTTAAGTGGTGATCACTTAAGTTTTCAGTGGCTTACTCGGTCCATCTGATAACGGCTGACTTGCAAATTTACCACTTGGACTGGCCATCTGCTTATTTCCTTATGCTAATTAATGCGGCCTTTTATGGCCATCGATAAACCCTAATTTATTAAACAAAGAGCATGGACCTAACGGTTTGGGCTCCGATTAATATATGGGGTTCTTGAGCCCCATAAACAATATGCATTTGAATATGTCTGAGCACCCCCATTGTATTATTGTATTGCTGCCAACGACCATTGCTCTGGCCATAATTTCGTGGGTGTTACGCAACTAGGTAACTCTGGCCGGTCGAGAAGCCGGGCCCCCTGCCAAGATACGATCTTTATAATTTACGAGCAGCTCTCGTTGGCCAAAACTGCATTTAGGTCCGCCGCCAAGACTTGGCAATCGAAACTCGTTAAGAAATGCTGGCGGTGATTTGCGAAACACAAACGGGTGGTTCACCCAGCGTTTGGATGGCCCGAAGATGCAGATAAGGCAGGCTTAGACCTTGTTTTAAGGATATCACCCTGAATACCTTGATGCCCCGGTACCTGGATACCTTTTTACCTTGCCTTTGGCCAGCACTCACCTTTTTGTTGAAGCCGCTTTCGTCGGATTAAAACTGGGTTTTGCTTTGGCACTGCGTATCTCACAGATACACTTAATCTTATCGTTTTACGGTTTGGATTTTTGGGAATATTCTGGGATTTCGATTCGCGCCCTGCAACAAACACACAACGCACAAAGTTAAAAAAAATGTATTTGAAAAAAAATTGGTTATGGGTTATGGTTATATATGGTATATTCTTAATCCACTGCGCTGCTGGCCTGGCCTGCCGCGTGTTCTCACCGGTCAGTTTCAAGAAACACTTTGAGTGGATGCCAGTGTGCCGGGGCGTTTATATACACTCGGCGGCGGATCACGAACGCCCGACGTCCGACGCCGACGCCGACGTCGGCAGAGCGTCAGCGGTATGGCCATAGACAGCGTGCTAGGCACGAACGTCGCAGCAGGCAACTGCAGCAGCAGCAGCAGCAGCCGAGGCAGCAAACGCAGGCAGAGGTTGGGGCAGCGGGAATGCGTACGTGAGCCTCGCAGGATCCCGGGGACATGGATATTTTTAGTCGGCGTTCTAAGCCGGCTCGGCTGCTCCCAGAATGGGAAAACCCAGTATCCAGAACCCTTTCTCCATAAATAGACGGCAAATTGCTCACAAGCGCTGTCTATTTTTAAAGCGAATGCAATTTGTAAGTCTTCTGCAGACTTCTGCAGACCGCAGACCTACGGGGATCTATTTATAAATCGAACTAGCCAGGATCGCTCGCTGCTGATCGATTGCCATAAGCATCATTAAACGCAGCACGATTTTCAAATGCAGTTGGGACGATGATAATATCAGCAATCAGCCAGGGCCAAAGAAAAATGCTTAATTGTGGTTCATTGCATTTGGCGGGGTCGCAGAGGAGTTGGGCTGGCTGGGTTGGCGAGAAACCGGTATCCGTCTTGGATACCGAGGCGGGACTGGGGGCCAGGGGGCCAGGGGACGGGCCAGCTTGCCTGCCTATCTGCTAGTTCCACAGCCACACCACCACCACAGGCCAAGAACTTTAGCAATCGAACCAAAGACGGACTAAGCCAGTGGCCAGAAGAAGACCAGACCAGACCAGGCTGCATTCGATCCGGCCGAGGAACATCATTAACATAATCAAAGCAGGGGGTTTCCGATCGTTGATTATCTTAGAATGATAAATGCCTTGGGGCAGCTCCAAACAGGCCTGCAGATTCTTTTTATAGACCACGGCCAGATATATACACCAAAAAGGATAGATGCGTATCCGTGGAAAGTTCCACTCCCTGCACCAAAGGTTATATTTGAAGCGCGGGGGTGGGGCGCTAAATTGCCCAGCCGCATTTGTCACTTACGAAAATCACATCCACCGCATTCTCGAATTTTCTTAATTGGGCAACTAAGAGTGAAACAGCCACAATGATACTTATTCAGCACAAAAATTCATATTTAGGGGTGTCACAGAAATCCGTGCAACCAAATTTTCCCCGAAAGCAAATCACTTTGGCACAGAAACCGGTTTAAAAATAAGTATACGAATTAAAACCAACAAAATAGTATGATTTGAAAAAAATGTTCCCAAAATCAGATTTTTTCGAACCCAATCCCTGTATTAAACACTTTTTGTTCTCATTATCATTATTATATTCTCATTATATCATATTTTTCAAACTGTATTTATTGAATACTAAGAACTTAGTTTTTTAGATAATTTTTTTGTTATTTAACTTAACTTTGATCGTAATAGATAATATACTCTCTTTTGATCTCAATCATTCATCTATAACAGGTAATACATGAGATGTATATTATGCATTTTTTAGAGCTGAAGGCCTATAGTTGCTATAGCTAGCATTGTTATTACAATTAATTGTTAGCATTATATACATAAATATTACGCATTTTTTAATTCAATACATTGTACTATAAATTTTCTAAAAGCTGTTCTTACATATGATATCAAATTCCATGTAATTTTTTCTTTCGGTGCACTCATAACATCAAATGCCTTATAGAAGATACGACTGCGTCGACGTCTCTAAGGTCAGACAATCGTTTAGCGGAAAAGTTCTGGGAGAGCTCTTAAGTTAAACGTGCTCTGATTGGATTTGGAAAGACTCTGATTTGAGAATGAGCATGATAGTACTAATGGTGCCAGATAGTAACAGAGATGGAAAAGATAAATAGGGGAAAGCCGTATAATGTACGCTGTCGAAAATATTTCAACGCGACCCATCTGTTTATTTACGACCACTTTGGGTTCGGTTTTGGGTTTTATGGGCCTATGGATTATCGGACTCTCTACCTGTTTCCTATAAGCTGAACCTATAATTCGGGAAGATTAGTCCCGGTGCTGGTACCTCGGGACTTGTAAAATGTATGCGAACCCAATAGCCCAAATACCCAGAACCCGAAAACCTTTATGGCCTACCAGTCGTTTGCTAATTTTGAAGGTCGATCTACAGCGCTGTATGTCTCGTCACGAAAATGAATCTCATAATCTTTAGATACTTAAGTTCAGAAAAATCATGCATAATTGCAATTATTAAGTTGCTCAATGATTTCCATGGATGAACGGCTGAGAAACAGCAACTCTGTCTATGTGAACTATGTGTTCAAGGAAAAAAAGATGACGTATTCTAGTGGCGGGGCTACAGTGCTCATAGTCTAAACATAACTTTGACTTACCCCATAACTTCACCAGTAAATGTTTCATAGATTCTGTTAGCTTAGGGTCGCTTTAAGTCTTCGTGAGACTTAGTCCCCCTTCTTACACACTTAACCAAAGATCCCCCACTAGCCATTTAATTGCTAGATCTAAAAACAACCTCAGCTCTGCTGGAGTACAACGAAGTTGGAAGAAAGCGCGGAGGGACTTCGACCACTGAGTCCTAGCCAAAGTGGGCGATGCTATTAAAATAATGAGAGTGGGAATATTTAGCCGACACTTGACTACACTTGTCTTTGCAAAGCTAAGTTATTCCTGTATCACATTTATAAGAACGGGTCAAAACAATGTATACCATTAACTCAAAAATGTTCAGACTGTTAAATGATTTTAAACCTTTTTTTTGCAATATTTAGGTAGACACTTCATAACAATAGTAAAGGTACATTCTATGGAAGCAATTATATGTATCTTGAAACCCTAAGCATTCTGAATGTGTTGCTTAGGCAGGTATAAAGTGCTGGCCAAAGAAAGGGCATCCATAGTACTCATACCCTAACCCACGCCAGACCAAATCAAATGCAACTTTTTGGCGTTGAGATGCTGGAAAATTGGCCGGGCACGAGATGGCATTGCTTTCAGCCGGCCACCGATCCTCCCCGCGAACCGACTGGACGCAGAAGAGATCCAAGTGGGAATGCACCGACTTGGAGGAGGAGGACGGCATCCACAAGCACTTGCCTGCTGGGCCAAGTGGTCACTTAATGGTTGCACCGGCCTGCTCATTTTCTTGCGACATTTTTATGCTCTTGACTTGCATAAATATTTGCGGAGCCCGCTAAGGGGAACCTCTGGACGTAGATTTTCTACAGGCTCTGCAGAGCAGCGAAAGCAATAAATTTGTGCGCCGCGGACACGACTTCCACCGACTCGGGCTCGCCTGGCCAACATGGATAAAGTGGCCTTTTGGGTTTGCCAAGTGGGGATTGGGGATTGGGGAATGGGAAATGGGGAATGGCCACGGTATGCTCGCACTCCTCGCACTGGTCTGCTATCATGTAATATAAAATGCACATGCGTTGCAATCAACATCAACATTGTCCTGGTCGTCAACACAAAAGCAGGGGGAGAACTAGCATAGATCGGGGCTGGGGCATTATCATCATCATTATCATTATCATCCTGAAAGGTAATTACACAGGCCTACACAAGGTTTATTCCGAGTTATTCCGCATTAAGATATTTGAAATCCGAATTCAAGGGAAGCTAGCGATTTCATCAAAAGAGTGGTTCACCGTAAGATCCATCGGTCAGTTCCCTTTTTACTGGGGAACCAGAGAAGTACCACCTTTTGCCACCTTGTTGCCCAGTGTTCTCTGCAAAGCAAAGATTGCTGCATGCCACATCCACACCGAGGCACATACACACTCGTGCCTCCTTGCTGCGAGTACTAGACCTGCGATCAGCGGTAAGGCAGCGAAGCAGCGGCAGAGCCGCCTTTGTATCTCATGGATACATAACTCTTTGTTATTGGCCTTGAATGTCCTAAGCACGGAAAAGAGGTCATTGTCGCATAATACACCGCCCGTCCAGCCTGTCCAGTCTATCCAGCGCTTGCCAACTGCTGGACAATGACAGTGGACAGTGGATAGTGGACAGTGGCGATTCCCTTCCATTCCCATTCCCATTCCCCCGGGGGAAACTGCGAAATCTATGCGCACTTTTATCCACCTCTGCGCGATGTTCGTCTTTTCCGTTTTGAAATTTGTAATTAAAGTAGACACGCATTTTAATGACTGTAATTGAAAAGGGCCCATCCCAGCATGGTCATATGATCATGTGGTCGTCGGGTTCTGGAGGCGATCAAAGGGGCCTCTGCCCGGCCTGCCATCCGATTGAATAGATGTACCTGTGCCTGCCCATGTGCATATATTAAAAGTGCATTTAAATAAATAACTTGAAACATATTGATGGCCCGTCGATGGACTTGGGCAACTTATTACGCCACGCCGTCGTGGTACCTTTCAGCCACCTCATCTTGGCCAGGTCCCAGAGCACTTCCTGGCGCGTTTGTTTAGGGCTTCTGTGGCCTCCCCTCATCGGCAGCTCAGCACTCGTAAAACCGCAATGGTCATCCGAAATGAAATCTTGCAGATTGTTTTCGGTTTTTGCTGCTGCGCACTTTGTTTTGTCAATCTGTTCTTGCCGGGTTTTTTCTCTTTTGGGCTGACTATGCAATAAGCGATGTACAGTCGATTAAGACAATTATCTCTGGACATTAATTCTAGGAAATATAAAAATAATAATCACTATCAAGTTTTTTGCTCGCACTAAACATTGTCGCGACGATAATTGGCCAACCGAGCGGCAGCTGGAGGAGGAAGGCGGTTGATGACCTATGGTAGTTCAAACGAAAGATGGATTCCAGCAACCCATGACTGGGCCAGGGCCAGCGGATGATTGTGATCTAGTTAGCCAAATCAAACGCAGA